ACTTTCTCTGAGCTTCTCTTTGTTTAAAACAGTAGTTATGTTAACATTAGCAATAATAAATAATTGGCATGTCATTTATTGTTTGTAATGTCCAGCATAAATGATGTGAGAATTAGTCGGCAAGGATTCGAGAAAAGGGTGGTTTCCCAAGATTTGCAGCTTTGGCTTTCTAATGTAAGAGAACCAAAAATAGAAATTCCAATTCTGGTCTCGTGTTGATTTTACAGTAGAAATTAACCGACACGGACTAATTAAAAAGTCTTCTTAATTACAGGCACCACCTATTGGAGATCAATACACTCTTCTTGCACGAGCTGGACGACAGGCAAGTACTATGTATCTCTCTCTTTCTCTCACACGCACACACACACACACACACACACACACTCTTTATATATAATTATGTATATATGTATCACGAAGTCTAAATTTGTGGGGGTTTAGGTACAAGAAATACAACTGATAACTTCACTGGATCAAGATGGAATCAAAAAGGCATTGCAGCATGTTTTAGAACGTGTTCCGTAAATCTCTGTTATTGCTATCGAAGCCTAAAAGAAAGGGAGAATTCTGTGATTGGTGATGACCAATTTTCCATGTCATATGCAGTATTTATTGTACGTCAGATAACATAATCAAGTGACACACATGTATATAGTTTTACCATTTTTTACGTCGAGGAATTTTGGGAATTTCCATGCCCAATTTTTTTTTGGGAAAAAAAATGGTCAGATAACTAATGTCGAGGGTTAGAATCAAAACCATACCAAAATCATGACAGGTAGCATTTCTTTACTCAAAACTATTTCCAAATCTTAAGAGTTTTGGGAATGGGTTTTTCTTTTTTCTTTTTTGTATTTTTTTTTTTGTATTTTTTTTTGCCATGAAAGGAACGTGGCATCGTTAAAAAACTTGTCGGCCTAGAACAAGGAAAGAGAACCCGAACTTGCAATGGGAAATAAATTCATAGTCTATATATCGGAAATAAATGACTAAAAGTAAGAAATAACGAAAAAAATTGATTAAACTCTAAATGTGTTTTTCAATGGTCCTCCACTATTTTCTTTTAGATAGGTTTTTTTTCCATCAATATTTTATACATTTGTCGTAAGAGAAACTATTTTCCTTATTTTGGCCAACAATGTTTATAACGAGGCTCGCTAATTGCTTCATGAAAAAAAATCGGCAAAAAAATTTATACTTGATAAAATAATAACCTCGCTTAAATAATATTTTCTTCAGATCCCGACATGATAACAACGTACTTAATTTTAATAGTAGCTAGCACTTAAAAAGCGAACTTCAATTTTAATAGTTAGGTTCAGTAAGTATGAATCTTGTTAAATAAACATCTTGTTAGTCCCTACTATTTAGTGACTAGAATATAATAGCGCTAAACGAAGCACTTAGAATATCAATCCGTATGGATCTATACAAAATTCTCTCCAACTAATATATACTGCGTCCTCATATGAGTGCTTAGTGTGTCGTTTGATTCTGAAGTGAACTGTGTATGACTATCAATGGGGGGTGCGGATGGAGGGTTGCTGAGCAAAATAGGGTTCGATTTTAGTATGTGATTGGAGTTTTGAAATGAATTTTTGTGGTGGTGGTGGTGGATTCAATTTTGTGCGGCTATTCAGCGATGGTGATTCTCATTTTTTTTCTTTTTGTTTTTCCGTTTTGGTAGCAGTTTTCTGGAAAAAATAATATAAAGCAGATTAAACGGGATAAGGCGCCTTGTTATTAGGGATTGTGATTAAAAATAGGTTAATTATTAATGAGCGTGTTAACCGTGTAAGCTAAGGAAGCTATCATCCCAACGGTAAAAAAATCAAAGAAAAGATTTGTTGTATAGCTTCCAACGGTACAAATTCAATATTCAACATGTAATTACATTAAATTACGATTAACTCAATTATGGTAACAAAGTACAAACCGACACATCAAATACAAAGCATCAATTATAAATCGCAAAATACGCTCTGCTTAATTAATTCCAAATCCTTCTCTTCTCTCTCAAACAAAGTTATGGCATTCAGAGGTTTTCAGAGGTCCGTCGGCACTCAGTTCGGCGCTGCTTTTCCGGTCGCCGGAGATCATATTCTTCTTCCTTATAATTCCTACGGCCGCCGCGTCCCTCAGCAACACCATCACTATCTCTATCAACAGAGGCTTTGGGCAGTCGGCACTCATCCACCGCCGCCGCCGCCGCCGCAGTGGGGTGGTGGTGGTGGTGGTGGACCTGCTTTACCGATGGCCGGAGAAAATAGCAGAACCCAGCAGTTTCTTCCTTATTATAATTACCACACCGCTCCTCCACAAAACTACTACGACGTTTATCAAGATTTGTCGAATCATCGTCCTCCACAACAATTTGATTATGTTCAAGAAGATGAAACCCTGATTTTGAATGGGGGTTCTGTTCATCCACGTCAGCAACAACACCAACAACATGCGAGTGGTAGTGCTGCAGGAGCAGGTTTGTCCGAATCCCAGATCAAAAAGTGTCTGAAGATAAAGATTATTAATAATTCTTGCCCTAATTATATTGATAATCGAGCCGCCACCGCGGGTGAAGATCAAGAAGAAGAAGAAGAAAGCGAAGTTTGTGCGATATGTTTGGATAATTTGTACAGCCCAGATCAAAGTAGTAATAATAATAATCATCGGAATAATATTAATAATGTTAGTGTCGGAATTCTGGGATGCAAACATATGTACCATTCGGTATGCATCACAAGGTGGCTCGGCATCAAAAATTTTTGCCCCATGTGTAAAGCTGTCGCATATTCTTCGTGAAGATGACGAATTGACGATGACTCAATTCAATTAGATTTAAGATATGTTAATAGTTTTATTTCGTGATTATAGGTAGTGTTTCTACTGCTGTGCATGTTTATGTAATAATTAGTTTGCTTAATATTGAATTATATTTGACAAGAATGCCAGAAAGAAAATTATTTGTTCTATATTAACATCAGGTTACATTGTTTTTATATATATATATATATATATATATATATGGGTTAATGACAAAGATGACAAAGGCACTTAATCACTTAATTGATAAAAGGACATTCAATTTTTGTGTGTTTCAAATATTTCTAGTTTACTCAAATTTATTTGCAAATAAGGAATTTTTTTATATATACTAAAATTACTCTCAATTACTTGAAACACAATTCAACTCCAGTTTTATGATTTACACCACAATTTAGTCCAATTTCACCAACTAATTAATATTGACCTTAATTTAAATTTTGACCCCAGTTTTTGGGAATAAAAATGGTCAGATAACTAATGTCGAGGGTTAGAATCAAAACCGTACCAAAATCATGACGGGTAGCATTTCTTTACTCAAAACTATTTCCAAATCTTAAGAGTTTTGGGAATGGGTTTTTCTTTTTTCTTTTTTGTATTTTTTTTTTTGTATTTTTTTTTGCCATGAAAGGAACGTGGCATCGTTAAAAAACTTGTCGGCCTAGAACAAGGAAAGAGAACCCCAACTTGCAATGGGAAATAAATTCATAGTCTATATATCGGAAATAAATGACTAAAAGTAAGAAATAACGAAAAAAATTGATTAAACTCTAAATGTGTTTTTCAATGGTCCTCCACTATTTTCTTTTAGATAGGTTTTTTTTCCGTCAATATTTTATACATGTGTCGTAAGAGAAACTATTTTCCTTATTTTGGCCAACAAGGTTTATAACGAGGCTCGCTAATTGCTTCATGAAAAAAAAATTGGCAAAAAAATTTATACTTGATAAAATAATAACATCGCTTAAATAATATTTTCTTCAGATCCCGACATGATAACAACGTACTAAATTTTAATAGTAGCTAGCACTTAAAAAGCGAACTTCAATTTTAATAGTGAGGTTCAGTAAGTATGAATCTTGTTAGTCCCTACTATTTAGTGAGTAGAATATAATAGCGCTAAACGAAGCACTTAGAATATCAATCCGTATGGATCTATACAAAATTCTCTCCAACTAATATATACTGCGTCCTCATATGAGTGCTTAGTGTGTCGTTTGATTCTGAAGTGAACTGTGTATGACTATCAATGGGGGGTGCGGATGGAGGGTTGCTGAGCAAAATAGGGTTCGATTTTAGTATGTGATTGGAGTTTTGAAATGAATTTTTGTGGTGGTGGTGGTGGATTCAATTTTGTGCGGCTATTCAGCGATGGTGATTCTCATTTTTTTTCTTTTTGTTTTTCCGTTTTGGTAGCAGTTTTCTGGAAAAAATAATATAAAGCAGATTAAACGGGATAAGGCGCCTTGTTATTAGGGATTGTGATTAAAAATAGGTTAATTATTAATGAGCGTGTTAACCGTGTAAGCTAAGGAAGCTATCATCCCAACGGTAAAAAAATCAAAGAAAAGATTTGTTGTATAGCTTCCAACGGTACAAATTCAATATTCAACATGTAATTACATTAAATTACGATTAACTCAATTATGGTAACAAAGTACAAACCGACACATCAAATACAAAGCATCAATTATAAATCGCAAAATACGCTCTGCTTAATTAATTCCAAATCCTTCTCTTCTCTCTCAAACAAAGTCATGGCATTCAGAGGTTTTCAATTTCAGAGGTCCGTCGGCACTCAGTTCGGCGCTGCTTTTCCGGTCGCCGGAGATCATATTCTTCTTCCTTATAATTCGTACGGCCGCCGCGTCCCTCAGCAACACCATCACTATCTCTATCAACAGAGGCTTTGGGCAGTGGGCACTCATCCGCCGCCGCCGCCGCCGCCGCCGCAGTGGGGTGGTGGTGGTGGTGGTGGACCTGCTTTACCGATGGCCGGAGAAAATAGCAGAACCCAGCAGCTTCTTCCTTATTATAATTACCACACCGCTCCTCCACAAAACTACTACGACTTTTATCAAGATTTGTCGAATCATCGTCCTCCACAACAATTTGATTATGTTCAAGAAGATGAAACCCTGATTTTGAATGGGGGTTCTGTTCATCCACGTCAGCAACAACAACAACAACAACATGCGAGTGGTAGTGCTGCAGGAGCAGGTTTGTCCGAATCCCAGATCAAAAAGTGTCTGAAGATAAAGATTATTAATAATTCTTGCCCTAATTATATTGATAATCGAGCCGCCACCGCGGGTGAAGATCAAGAAGAAGAAGAAGAAAGCGAAGTTTGTGCGATATGTTTGGATAATTTGTACAGCCCAGATCAAAGTAGTAATAATAATAATCATCGGAATAATATTAATAATGTTAGTGTCGGAATTCTGGGATGCAAACATATGTACCATTCGGTATGCATCACAAGGTGGCTCGGCATCAAAAATTTTTGCCCCATGTGTAAAGCTGTCGCATATTCTTCGTGAAGATGACGAATTGACGATGACTCAATTCAATTAGATTTAAGATATGTTAATAGTTTTATTTCGTGATTATAGGTAGTGTTTCTACTGCTGTGCATGTTTATGTAATAATTAGTTTGCTTAATATTGAATTATATTTGACAAGAATGCCAGAAAGAAAATTATTTGTTCTATATTAACATCAGGTTACATTGTTTTTATATATATATATATATATATATATATATATGGGTTAATGACAAAGATGACAAAGGCACTTAATCACTTAATTGATAAAAGGACATTCAATTTTTGTGTGTTTCAAATATTTCTAGTTTACTCAAATTTATTTGCAAATAAGGAATTTTTTTATATATACTAAAATTACTCTCAATTACTTG